CGTCCAGGGGGCGCGGGCCGCCGCCTGGGCAGGGGGGGGCCTCTTCTTCAGCCCGGCCACGACACTCGCAAGGCGAGCCTGGTACCTCCTGCTCGACTCGCCCTCCCTCCTCGGGGTCGCTGCGCGGGCGGCGGCCCGCCCGCCCGCGCAGCCCCCCTGCTATCCCACGCGGCGCGGGGGGGGCCCTGAAATCTTCGCCGCGGCCAGCTCGCCCCCCAGCGCCGCCAGACGCCGCGGCGGAGGAGCGACCTGGCTTGCGCAGCTTGGCGGCAGGCTCGTCTAACTTGAGCCCCGGGCGCCCCTGATCCCCTTCTTCTCCTCGCTGAGCTCGTCGCGCGGGGGGGCGGGCTCCACCCACTCGGCCTCCAGCCAGATCCCGCCGCGGGGCGCGACTCGGAGCGCCTTGCACCGCTGCGCGAGCAGGTCCGCGATCCCTGCCGAGCGCCCCTGCGCCAGGAGGTCGAGCGCCTCGGCGAGCGCCTGCAGTCCGAGGCACGCGGGCACGCCGACCTCCCGCGCGGAGTGCTGCGGGAGGGACGCCACGAGGAGCCGCCGCAGCACGATCGCGCCCTGCAACTCAGCGGCGCCCCCCCCCTCCCAGAGCGCCGAGGAAGCGCGCCAACTGGGCCGAGCTCGCCTCGGCGAGGCGCCCAGGCACAACAGTGGCCACCTTGCCAAACACTGACCCGCGCGGGGTCAGAGATCCGCCCACGCCCGTGACGCCCATCCAGGCCCAGCTCCTCGCCGCTGCCCTGGCGCCCGCCCAGCAGCCGCGCGAGGGCGCTCGCGGAATCCTGCGCCGCGCGGGAAGCGCCTGCCGTGGCCGCCGCGCCGTCGATCGACTCCTGATCGGGCGGGCCGCGCGCGCCTCCCACGGTCGGCGGAAGTGCTGGCAGCAGCCTCTGCCCCCAGCGAGCGCCCCCCACGGTGCGCTCCGAGGACGCCTCCGTCAGCGGCCGCTTGACCTTGGGCCCCTCCTCGGCCGCAGGTGTCGCCCTCGCGACGCCCTCGGCGGGAAGGGCGACACTCTTGTCGCGGTGCCACAGCGCTGCGAAACGGTCCCGCGACTCCACCCACCGCGAGCGCAGGGCGGCCCCCCCCCTGGATGCGAGGGGCTCCGCGTCCAGCTCGCCGAGGAAGTCCTCAAACCGCGGCCCCAGGAGGTGCCGCGGCCACACCGCGCCTGGGTTGGTGATCCGATGCCGCGACCAGAGTTCCGCCGCCGCCTCGGCCGCCGACCGCGCCACCTCCGAGGAGAGGCGCTACGGCGGCAACGCGGCCTCGCACAACAGCACGGGGACCTCGCAGACATGCAGGTGGGGCCTGAGCGAGTTCGCCCCGCGCTCGCCCGCACACCGCCCCCGCCAGTCCCCGTAGCTGTCGTCGCTCCAGAGCAGCCTGACGCGAGCAAACCCGCCACAGCGCTGGCACTGCACCTCCAGGGCGCTGCAGTAGCCGACGTACGCGTACAGCTCCCCGTCCGCCACCAGGAGCCCGTCGGCACCTGCGGCCGCCGCGGGGCGGGCCCGCTGGCCCGGGGCGGGGACGTCGGGGACGTCGGCTAGGTCCCCGTCGTCGTCCACGTCGTCCACGCCCTCGGTCTCGGGCCCCCGACGCCGTTGCGGTGAGGGCTGGACCCAGCGGCTCGCCGCCAGGGCCGCTTCCGCCGCCCCCTCAACCGCGCGCGCCGCCGCCGCGGGGAGAGGAGGGAGGCGCCCTCGGCGGCCTCCCCTCCCGCGGCGCGATCCAGGTCGGGTTCCGCCTGGTGTCGCCCGACCTCGCGCGCGTTGCCCTCGCAGAGCGCCCGAATGCGCCCTGGGCGCAGGGGCTCTGCTGACGGCACGGGGGCCGCCCGAATCCCCGCCAAACGCTGAGCCTCAAGAGGCTACGTGTAGCAAGACAGCGATAGGCGCACCCCCCCCCTCGTATGAACATACACATGCGTGTATATCGCCATATATATATATATATATATATATATATATATGTATACACACATGCATATATACATACATACATAACAATACAGTACACATGCGTGTATAGGTATATGCCTACGCATGTATCTATAAACACATAATGCCCGAGATGCCCCAAACATGTTCGGGTGATGTTCCGTAGACTCCCGGGATATTATCTCTGGACCGCGTATATTGTCAGGTGTTTTCCCCTGATCTTACATGTGGGCATTTCCATGGAGAGTCCCCAGAGATCTCGGAAACTGAAGTGCCCCGGTACGCAACACGCAACACGTAGCGTATTCAGACGGAGCTCAACACGCAGACTGCAAAACGTAGGTCTGGCGCGATGTTTCGCCACACCATGGGAAAACACGTTGAACCAGTATGCAACGTATTAACACGGACGTTCTGAGCACGGCACATGCTGCGTCCCCAAGCGAGCGTCTCGAGGCAGATAATATCGGGAATGCCCCAGCCCCGTTCGGAGGTTGTCCAAACATATGTCCCCTCGATGCTTCACCCCGAGGGACCATGTCGCGTTTACCATGTTGACGCCATCTAGTTCTCGGGACAATGAAATGGGCGGTTGGGCCCCCTTTCGCCGAGCCTGAACACACCTAGCTACGATGACGACAATGATCAGAATGAGGGGGCCGAACGGTCATTCGCTGTCCCTGGGTGCGTGGCTGACGTGGGATTCCGCGGTGCGGATTGTTGTCGCTGTTGGTGTCGATGTTGTGCTTAAGCTTTCGCTTATAAAACAATTATTATTGACCCCCCCTCCCCAACAACCGTTGTTTTGTTCAATTGAAGTGCCCCTCCCGGGGCCCGCACCCTGTTCTTTCTCAAGGAAAACGAGGTGTCACTAAACTGCGCCCCTGGCCCCCGATTTGCGACACCAACGACTCCTGCCTGATACTTCCTCTCACATTATGATCCAATCGCGCTCTCGCGCGGGATTTCCTCACAAAATATGCAGGACCGCGCTCTCGCGTGGGACTTGACTCGCAATGGATTCAGACGCCGCGCCCTCGACACTCAGGAATGACGCCCTCGCTGTGGATTGTTGCGCGATTTACTTGGGGATCGCGCTATCTTTCGAGACTTCCTCGTGATTCATGCAACACGCACGCTTCAGCAACCCGCCTGCTCGACCTGGCCGCATGGGCCCGCCTTCCCGACCGCCCGTTAGGGTCTACCCGCCCGGTTTGCCCGCCTGGTTTTGCCAAGTGATTTCTGCTCAACGCCCCCCTCCTGCTACTCTGTCTCTCTCTCTCTCTCTCTCTCCCTCTTTTTTTTGTTTTTCTCTCTCTCTCTCTCTCTCTATCTCGTGCTCCAATATCCTCCCTCCCTTTCGTCCTTTTGTTCAATCCGTCCTCTGCTCCCCTGCCGTAGGAGCTGCATGAAAAACACGTTGCAATAAACAAGTGATACACCCAAAGGGGTACGATTGTGGTAGCGAGGTTTTGGGATATACGCATCGGATGGCACGCGAGCAGATAAGAGCGATCAGTCTTAACTGTACCGTTGGTGCTGTTGCTGCTGCTGCTGCTGTTGTTGTTGTTACCGTTGCTGCTGATGCTGTTGGACCCTCAGTTCTAAATAATAAGTATTGATGAGATCCCCCCTCCGGTAACCATTGTTTGAAGTGCCCCTCCCGGGGCTCGCACCCTGTTATTTCCAAGGGAAAGCGGGGTGTCACCAAACTGCGCCTTTGGCCCCCCGCGTCGCAAGAACAACTGCTCCCGCCCGATACATCCTCACATTGCATTTCAAAGTCCAATTATCGCGCAAGTTGTTCTCACAATGTACGCAGGAAACGCGCTCTCGCGTGGGACTTGACTCGCGATGGATTCAGACGCCGCGCCCTCGACACTCAGGAATGACGCTCCTCGCTGTGGATTGTTGCGCGATTTACTTGGGGATCGCGCTATCTTTCGAGACTTCCTCGTGATTCATGCAACACGAACGCTTCAGCAACCCGCCTGCTCGACCTGGCCGCATGGGCCCACCTTCCTGACCCGCCTCTTAGGGTCTACCCGCCCGATCAGCCCGTCTGGTTCTGCCACGTGCTTTGTGCTCATAGCCACCCTCCTGCTACTCCATCTATTGCTCCAGTCTCCTCCCTCCCCCTTGCCCCTTCCTTCTAACCGTCCTCTCTCCCCTTGCCTTCTTGGCTGCAAGAAATACACGCTGCATGTAGCAAACAAAATCCTCAAGGGGGCACGATCGAAGAAGAGGAGGGCGTGTACCGAGGGTTTGGGATACATGTATTGAATGGCACGCGAGCAAATAAGAACGAACAGTATTGACATGTTTGTTGGTGCTGTTGCTGTTTTTGTTGTTGATGTTGATGTTGCTGCTGTTGCAGTTGCTGTTGTTGTTGATGTTGCTGCTGGACCCTCATTTCAAAAGAACAATTATTGTTGATATACCCCCTCCTGTAGCCATTGTCTTTTGAGTAAAAGTGTCCCTCCAGGGGCTCGCACCCTGTTCTTTCCAAGAGAAAGCGAAGTGCCACCAAACTGCGCCTCTGGCCCCCGAGTTACAACAACAACAACGGCTCCCGCCTAATGCGCGTCGCATGTAACAAAAATACATCCCCAAGGGGACATGATCGAAGACGGAAAGGGCGGGTACCGAGGGTTCGGGATATACCTGTTGAATTGCGCACGCGCAGAGAGTGGCGAGTAATCTTAAAATGGTTGCTGTTGTTGTTGCTGTTGTTGTTGCCTTTGGTGTTGGTTGGTGCTTGGTGGTTGGTGATTAATGTTGATGTTGGTGATGGTGGCTAATCGTGTTTGTTGTTTGCTGCTCGTTTCACATTGTTTCTCCTTTGTTCTCCTCGTCCCACCCGCGACCCGGACCGCGACCCACCCACGACCCCGCCATCCCCCTCACTCTTATACGCAACTGCGGGCTGCTACGTGCTCCCACCCACCGACCCCAGCCTCGCAGTGCACGAAACGTCGGATGCAGCTCCGCAGGTGCTGCTCCTCGCTCCCCCAGGCAGGCTGGAGAGCGGCCCCGCGCGGCGGCCTCCACGGGCATCCGCACGCCCGACGGGTCCGCCTCCAAGCACCGGCGGTAGTCCGCAGCAGGGCGCCCGGGCCCCGCCAAGAGGCGGCACGCAGCCCTGCCTCGCATCTCTCCCAACCCACTGCTGCTATGTTCTCCCCTTCCCCCCGGCCCCCCCGCCCCCTCTGCAACTACACCATATGAAAGCTACTCTCCCCTCTCCCCCGCAGGATGACGTCCAGAAGACGTCCGGCCCCCCTCCGCGTAGTGTTTTTGTTACAGGATTCCCTGGACATGTGCTTGCGCTTGGGCTTGTTTTCAAAATGTTGCTCCCGCTGAAGCGCTGGCCCCATTTCTGCGCCTCTGGTTGTTCCAAATCGTGCTCCCGCTGCAGCGCGGGCGTTTCCGGCCCTCTCAAATAAGCCTCAAATTTTAGAAATGCCCCGAACAAAAACCATCGGAAGTGATTCCACATTCGGTGTCGATTCGTTGATTTCTAGGCTGCAGAAGCCCCCCCCCACTCTGGGGCGTCGTCTTTTTCAGGAAGTATCAAGCGGGAGCTCGGTTTCTGCTTCGAGAAGGCGATGTTGAAAGCAGAGCCAGCGGGTGCTCTCCATCGGCCACGCCTTGTGTGCAGCTGTTCGGGGGGGGGCCAAGGAGCTAGACACGGAGCCACGACTCCAGACCGTCCCAGACCTCTCGAAGACGATCCACTTAACCTCCAAGGAACCCGGCGCTATGCCATGACATATGGCATTCTACGCCCTGCCTTGCTCTCCTACGCCATGCCATGTCGTGCTCTACCATGCATCGCGTACCCACTCGCGATCATTGCCCTGCTAGACATCCGACTGTGCGAATAGAGAGGATATCTACGCCATGGTACGGGATGGGAGGGAGGGGTAAGACGTCAGATATGACGCGAGCGCACCCAGCTTGCCCCCTCCGCTCTCATCTCCCTTCTCCCTTCCATCCCTCCCCTCCCCCTTCCCCTTCCTCCCTCCCTGCCTCACCTCCCCTGCCTCTTCTCCCCTGCGTTCTCTCCCATTCCGCTTCCCCCCCCACACCGCCCTCCCCCCCCACCCTCTCCCCGACGCATCCATCTTCTCCCTCTCTCCCCTCCACGTCTCCTCCCCCACCTTCCCCCCTCCTCCTCCCCCTCCCCCTCCCATTCCCCGTTCCCCCTCCCAGCTCCCTTACTTTCAACTACTTTGTATTGTCGGGCCCAGCCTAATCGAGACATGGCACAATGTTCGCACTCGTGCCTGCGTCGCACCACTCCCTCCCGTCACCTCCCCTCGCTCTCTCCCTCCCCCACCCCCACCCTCTCCATCCCATCCATTTGCTCCCTCCCCTCCGTCCCCCTCCTTGTGCTACCATCCATGGTCTCCCTCTCTGGAACCTTCTGCCTCAGAGCCTCCCAGGAGGCCCCAAGAGGTTCCAAGAGGACCCCCAACAGGCCCCTAGAGGCCCCAAAGAGGCCTCCAGGAAGACCCAAGTGGCCCTCAGGAGGCTCCCAAGAGACCCACAAGAGGCTCTAGAAGACCGAAGAGGCCCCAACCCTCTTCGTTCACCTGTTCCATCTCCCTGTCCTCGGCGACACTGGCCGTCAGGCCTTCACAAAATGGTTTACCTCAGCAATCCATTCCCGTGCCCTTTCTCCTTCCTTCCCCCTCTTCCTCCTCCTCCTCCTCCTCCTCCTTCTCCTCCTCCTCCTACTCACCATCATCCTCGTCCTGTTCCCCCTCTGCGTCCTCTTCCTCCTCCTCCTCCTCCTCCTCCTCCTCCTCCTCCTCTTCCTCCTCCTCCTCCACATCCCCCTCTTCCTCTCCCATCTTCCTCCCCCGTCCCACCCCCCTCCCCCTCTTATCAACATGTCTACCCCCGTCCCCCGTACCCGTCCCAGGCTCCAGGATGTCCCCCAGACGCGTAACATGTTAAGACAACTACACTCGAAGATCGTTGGAGCCTCCCTTTCCTCTTCCTCCACCTCCTCCATTCGTTTTCCTTATAAATGAATCCTCCCTGTCGCACCCTGAGGCTGGTCGAAAGGGCGGGCCGGGCGTTTCGCCTGAGACTTTCTCACCACTTCTGGTCCTGAAGCTTAAAGCTTGCAGTTTCACGAATGAAGGGCGGGTCGTTTTCAAACTGTGGCTGTCGCTTTAGCGCCGCGCACATTCGCCCCCCAACTTTGCAAGGGCTTCGCGGATGGAGAGCGGGTCGTTTCCAAAATGTGGCTCTCATCTTAGCGCCGCGCACACTCGCAAAAACAAATACATCAATCTCACGGGTTCGGGTCAGTTCCTTTTCAACATGTTGCTCTCGCCGTCGCGCCGCGCACATTGGTTTTAAACGTTCAAAGCAGTTTCAAATGGGCATTTTGGAACGATGTCGGACTGCCAGGGCGCAACAGTTACGTTGATTCGTGGTTTTGAGTTATTAAAAGAATGGTCTGGCAGGGACCTGGATCGTCAAGACGCAACAGTAAGATTGATTCGCGGCGTTGAAGAACCAGGGATGGTGTTCTGGCACACCTCAAGATTCTCATTCCCTCAGTGGACATGCATGTTTGGGGCTTCCTCTTTTTGGGCGTCGCGCCGCCACAGGTTCAAAGTGCAAGAGGCTCAAGCACACTCGAGGAGAAACGGCCACCGGGACCTGGCAGGGGCCCATACACGGCGAGCACCAGCACCCTCCAGCAGGTCAGCGAGCAAGCCAGCGAGCTCGGCTCGCCGGCCGCACTGACCCCTAAAGGGTAAGGCAGCCCGCCGAGTACAATTGGCCCCGCAAACACCAGGAAACACAGTTCAACGTGTTAATCCCCTGGGGCCACCCCTCGAGAGCATGACCTAAAAGGTGGCAGAATTGGGGATGGACGGAGGGCCGCTCGAGCCGTACACCTACGGAACGATCGAGCGAAGGAGTGTTCACCCTGAGCTCTCTCGAGGCCCGTCGGGCGAACACTATATCACTTGCTCGCTCGACGGCGGCGCTTTGCCTAAGAGGCCCAAACATACGCCCAACCCCGAGGGTGTTATGTTACATGTTTGGGGCTTCCTCTTTTTGGGCGTCGCGCCGCCACAGGTTCAAAGTGCAAGATGCACGCTCGAGGAGAAACGGCCGCCGGGACCTGGCAGGGGCCCATGCACGGCGAGCACCAGCACCCTCCAGCAGGTCAGCGAGCAAGCCAGCGAGCTCGGCTCGCCGGCCGCACTGACCCCTAGAGGGTAAGGCAGCCCGCCGAGTACAATTGGCCCCGCAAACACCAGGAAACACAGTTCAACGTGTTAATCCCCTGGGGCCACCCCTCGAGAGCCTTCCACGTCCCCCTATTGTGGCTCTGCCGACCTATTTCAAACGGATGCCATCAGGCAAGGACTACTGGATTGACTTTACCATTCAAGTCTTACAACTTCAGCTGTCTTAAAATATCTTTCCAGCGGAGAGCGGCAGCTCGAATTCTATCTTTGGTGCTAGGCAGAAGGGTGAGAGCAACGGTGTCAGCAACTGCCTGAGACAAGTACATTCTGGCTACTTTTGTGCCGCCCCACCGGCCTTGTTGAAGAGTATACTCCGTATTTCTATGGCGGGTGAAGTGGGCGGTCGCACCTCCTCTGCGGAGGCTATACATTGTGAACCTCGGTCCTGAAGGTCGAACATCTGAAGCAACTAGGACAACTTCCTCCGAACTTCAGGCGCCGTCGCTCCACACAGCAGATCTTCCGACCCCAGCTGCAAGCATCTGTATTTTAGGATCTTTCGAGACACCCCGTCGTTGAGAGAAACCACTTCTGAAAAGCCAGTTCGCAGTCCCATCTTCGAGGCCTCGATGTGAATAACTGCCCGCTCACCTTTTGACAAGGATGCGCCGCCGTCTGAGAGCCAGCAGCTCGCCTGTGCGCATGAACGCGTCGAAACCGACGAGGATCACGGCCGCCAGACCTTCCCAGCCGAGGTCCCATGCTGCAGCTGCCAAGGCTAGGACTATGTCGGCCGTGAACGGTGTCGCCCGACTGGGCGCGCACTGTCTCCCCCACGCTCGCACCAGGCTCTAACTCTGCTGCAGGTTGCCCTTCAGGGAGGGCATCGTCCACTGCAAAGCCGCTGTCGCATTGACCGCCAGGTAAAGCGGCTCCAGCTCTGCCCAGCACGCTTCCATGTACAAGCTGAGGCTTTTGTCCGCGTCGTTGAGCGAGGACAGCTTCACACTGTGCGCTCTCCACCACACAAAAAGGCGACCGACACATCGAACGTGCCGATCCCGCGTGGCTTTAGTGACCTGTAGGTCACGCAGCCGCGTGCCTCGCTTACTGAATTGAGAACGCACGTGCAACCAACTGCGACGCCTGCCGCCGCGAGCTGTCACTTGGACTCTTTTTCGGCGCCATTTCTTAATCAAGAACTCCCTGGACGGCCGATCACTTGGGTTGAGCTTGGTATTGATATACCCAACGCCCACATACAAGTCTGAACTGACGAGTATAGCAGCGTACTGTCGAGCGAGTCCCCGAAGCTTCCCCGGCGACGTGCGGCCGCGGGTCAGTATCGAAGCCGCAACTTGGGAATCGACAAGGTGCAGAACCTTCACGCTCCTGAGCGATGTAGTGCGAGTCCTGTGCCGCAAGGAAGCGTTCACCGCCTTCAACTCGAGCGCGTTGATATGCAGCTCCCTCGACGACTTCGGCCACGGAAAGGACAGCGTCGGCCGCCAGCGCCACAGCGCCGGGTCGATCGAGGATCGCGGCCACGCCTTGGGGCGGAAAGGCACACCGATGTCGAGGCGGACGTCGCTCCCCGACTTCTCGGCAATCGTCCAGAAAATCTCGACCAGCTTGCGGCCGATGGGGGTCTCCTTGATGGGGTCCCTCGAGAACTCCACCGACTCGTCGAGCAAGTCCTTTACCTCCAACTCGCTCGTGATCCCCTCGAGGTCAGTCGCCCTGACGGGCCAGCCCAACTGGCACTTCAGACCGAGGAACAGCCAGCTAACGACGCAGCAGGCGAACGCGTTCCCCAAGAGGCTGCAGCGATCGTTCTCAACGCTGCCACGGCTGGAGCCCGAGCTGGCTACGGACGACGAGTAGTGGCGAGGGAACCCCATGAGCACCTCCTTCTCCGTGGCACACAAGGGCCTCAAGTCCCCCCTGGAGTCCCGAATCATGTGAACTAGCTCGTACTGGTACGGAGGGTACGCGTGCAGGTCCTGGGTCCACCTCTGGGTGGCCTCTGGGCTCGCTGTCGATAAACCTGCAGGCTTGTACGGGACAGTCTTTTCACGCCGCTGGAGAAACGTGCAGACTGGGCCCTCGTCCGAGGCCCTGGAGCACCCTGCGGCAACCCAAGAGCCAGCAGGAGCCTTCGGGACCTGGAGCGCCCTCATGAGGTTGTAGTTGGCCTTGGGCTCCACGTGCGCCCCGGGGAGCTTGAGGGCCGCCTCTCTCCAAGACAACCAGTACAAACGTGGCCTTCCATTCTCGGTAAAGAAGGAGTTGCACACGCTGATGGGCCTAGTCTGGAGGATGCGGGAGAACTCATGGAGGGATTCTGCGCTCATTGAGAGTACATTTTCCACAAGCCAATGGACAGGCACCTTCATGACGAGAGCCAGTGCGCTCACCACCTTGGGTATGCGCTTGAACAGGCCGCTCCGAGCGCCATGTGCGCCCTGTCGGTCGGCGTTCACACCGCTCGTGTCCTGGCAAGGGCTGCCTCCCGCAACGACCACGGCGACAATCCGATCCTGGAACATTGCCCGAGCCTCAAGCTGTCGGTCGTGAATTTCCTCGACTGGGCCCAGCTCGATCAGGCCAGGCCAGCGCGATCTCAGCACCCGGCGAGCCCCTTTATCGACTTCGCTGCCCATGTAGCCTACGATATCGAAACCAGCGCGCACCAGCGACACAGCAGCGCCGCCGATGCCGTCAAACAAGCTCACCAACAGGACGCGCGGCGGAGCCCCTGGGGCGATCCTGGTCGGCTCGATCGAGCACGAGCCGGTGTAGCTGGCAATGCGATGGCCCCAGGTCTCAGGGCTCCCGAGAGATGCCAGGAACTTCGCGGCCCCCTCTGCGAGCCCCACGGCCGTGCACATACCAGCACCGCCCTCGCTGGCGTCAGAGCACGAGACGACGCTCGTGGTAGCGGCCCTCAGGTTGGTGGAGCGAGGGGCATCAGTAGGCAGCTGTGCATCAGCTCGTCCAGGCTGGCCCTGGTCAACACAGTACGGCCCGAGCCAATCTGCTCCCACGCCGAGTTGAACACCCCGAAGAGAGGACGTCGAAACTCTAGCGCCCTCACCCAGCGTCCCACGAGAATGAGGAGCTGGTTCCCGATGGGGGTTCTCTTTTGTCAGGAGCCACATGGTAAGGCTGTACAGCTGCACGTTCTTTATCGGATTGTTGGCGGCCCTGCCTGAGATCCCGTCCACCTCTACACCCATCCGCGTGACCAAGAGCTGCCTCTGGTTGGCTTTGTCCACGCCGATGGGGATTGCATTCCGCTGGTAGCTCCCCCTCATCAGGGCCTGCAGGCGGCCAGGAGTGCCCACCTTCGCGAGCGCCTCCTTGCACCCAGCCGTCTCGCAGTTATCGAAGTCGTCGATGTACGCACTCCACCACTCGCGAGGGCCCTCATGAGACAGGGGAGCAGCTGCAGCGGCGGGGATAGGACGGTCGCGCCGCCACTCCAGGTCAGCTGGGAGGGCGGCGCCAGCAGGGCGACCCAGAAGCGCGACCCGCCGGTGGACGCTCTGGAAAATGGGGACGCTGTGCACCCAGCCCATGGGCAGCACTGTCTCCTTGGCCTTCATGCCAAGAACATGGCCGGGGACTGGGGTGCAGATCGCCATGTAGCCCAGCCGCGGCGCAGGGATGCGGTACACGAAGAAAGCTCCCTTCTGGTCGTCCCCACTCCAGAGCAGCACCCCTCTGGGCCAAGGGAGATGCTTACCCACGCCGGCGAGGGTACCAGAGTCACTGAGTCCCCTGCCAACGGTCGAAGGTACGTATTCGTCGGGACCACGTTGAAAATCAAACGTGTCACTCTGGCCTCTCCCTCAGCTGGGGACCCCGACTTCGTCGCAGCAAACAACCAATTTGTGACGCGACGGCCGCGGGCCACAAAGATGCGCTCAGCTGGTATAGGGGCCAGCAGTCCACGCTCCACCAGCTTGGCAGCGATGGCCCACCAGTCCTCCAGCTTCTCGACGTTGACCTTTGCCTTCGGAGGCGACTCGGGCCACTCGGCCTCCGGCAAGAGCGACATCTCGGGTTTGGTGAGCACCTCCTTGAGCTCTGGCCCCACATAGTCCAGCACGTCCAAGCGGCCGATATCTTCGGCTTTGGGAAGGCCGGGCTCAAGCTCGCCGAACTTCAAGGGGAGCGCCCGACAGTCCTCCTCCAGATCGTAGCTCGACTTCGTCTTCTTCATCTCCTGAGGCCAGAACGGGACGTCCACCGCCGCCAACGCGTCGCCCACGCGCCACTCGACCGCCTCACCGATCACACGTAGGCTGGCGGCCTGCACCTCAGAAAGGCGCCCGGCTGCTTCCCAGCGGTCCGTGCTCAGGTGCCCAAGGTAAAGGTAGTTCAGGCCCAGCGCGCTCAGGAAAGTCCACACCTCGACCGCCATGGCTTGGGCCTCCTTCTTTAGAGCAGCTGGCCACTTCGTAACATCCACGGGGGATCCCTCACCGTCCAACATTCCTCTTCTCTTCAGATCACGTTCCCAGGCGAAGAAGGTTGCCGGCTCCCTTACTGGCAGGGGCAGCACATCACGCCCGACACCAGCCTCCGGCGATTGTGGCGCGACGCCCACAGGGAACCTTCTAGCGAAATCTCCAATGCAACTTGGCATTCTCCTGACACTGGTGAGGATCCCGAAACCGATCTCCAGCATTGTCATTTGGCTTGGGCCGCTGCGGCACATGCGCGAGGCGATGTCCGCCTTCCACTGGCCCAAGGTCAGCGCGGCCACCTCGCTGCCGATAGCCGCGTCACTCATCGCGCTCAATGCCTCAGCACGACCCGCCTCTGCGGCTCGCTCGGCTTCGCCGCGTTCTTGGCCGACGCCTGGCGCTTGAAGAACTGCGACGCGATCCTCTTCTTCAACTGCCGCCTGGACCCCCCCTCGGCACGCGGAGTCTTCGCGCGCGCCGCCGCCCACGCTGACAGGGGCTTCCCGCCCGCCGCCTGGGGGGCCGGGCGGTCTGTCAGCGCGGGCAAGCCGCCCCCCGACGCCCCCCGACGGGGATCGGCGCGGCCCGCCTCCACGGCAGGAGCACGACCCCTGGGCGGCTGCACTCCCGAGCGGCTGCGCAACTCTGCGGCGTCCGCGGCAGTGCCGATGTGGGTGATCGGCAACGCTCTGCTGTCCGGGCTTCCACCACGGCTCGGGCGCGCAGGGCGGTCGGCCAAGCTCTCGCCGCCGCCCCGGCCAGACCCCTAGCCGCGGCCCCCGAGGCGCCCGAGCAGCTGGGCCATGCGCACCTCGGCGGCCTCGATGCCCGCGGCGAGCTCCTCGTCCTCAACTGAGAGGCTCAATCCACCATTGTCGGGGGGGGTGAGCTCGAACCACTTCGCCGTCCTCGAATGGCCATCCCGTATGGTATTCTGGACAGCCTTGATCCTGCTGAAGATGAAGTCCAGGGCGTGAATGGGCTTGCCTGAGACTATGAGGTCCGCACTCTCCGCGAGCGTCCGCAGCTCGCGGTACCGGTCCTCGCCAATCTCACGAATGGGGTGCGCGGGCTTCAGCACCTGGAGCAAGAACTTGAGCGCCAGGGGGCTATGCTTGTTCACACCTCCAGCATCATCATGGTCCAGAAACTGCGCCACGTTCTCCATCTCCCTCTTCGAGAGGCGCCCTGGATGCTTCTCCGCTATCTTCTTGTACGCGAGGCGGCGGGCCGCCACAGGGCGCCCGCCAGGGACGCGATCATCATCACTGTCAAACAGGCCGTCGTCGTCGTCGCCCTTCTGACTCAGGTACTCGGCGAGCCTCTTCAGCACTGCCCGCCCGCCTGAGCCGCGAGCACGACTGCCATCTGCTGGACCAGCAGCGGCAGCACTCGGCGCCTGTCCAGTCATCCTCGCCTGGGCCACCTCGCCGAGCTTGGCCTTCTTGGTGGGTGCGGCGGCCGTGGCCCCGCCCGCAGCGGCCTCCGGGCCGCGCACTGTCGCGAGCTTCTCCCGCAACTTGTTGAGGCGCTCCAGGTAGCCGTCCTTCGCCGAGCTCTTCGTGCCCTCGGACTTGCCTGAGAGCGCTGCGAGCTCCCTGTCGAGCTCAGCGAAGGCGTCCGCGTCCGCCTCGTCGGCCTCCTCATCGCCGTCGAGCTCCACCAGGTCGCCCCAAGCCTTGCCTACGCCGGCGGGGCGCTTCCTGGCCGGGCCAGCGAAAGCGGCGCGACTCGGCGGCGGCTCCTCGTCCTCCTCAGCGGCCTCAGCCTCATCTAAGGCGGCCAGAGCGACATCAGCCGGCAGCTCGGGGCAATCCTCATCGTGCTGGAGCACTGCCATGTGCCGCTCGGCTGCCTGAACGGCCGTGAGCCTCTGGGGCGCTCTGGTGTGGAACACCTGGCACCCCGCCCGCGGTGCCGTGTAGCGACATCGCGAGACTGGCCCACGACACACGTGTAAGATCATCTTCTCTCGCTTCGCAATCCGTGAGTTAAGCCACCATGACAGGTATTGGTCTCCAGCAGCAAAGTATTCCACTTCGTAGGCGGTGCCCCCTGGGTTGTCCGACATCACTCTGCGCACCACGCCAACCACAGAGCCCGCGTCGGACCCGTCATCATGCAAGACGGGATGTCGGAAGCACTCGCCCGGCATCAGCACTGTCGGGCGTTCGTCCGCCATCAGCACCTGATCGGACGAGCAACAGTCGAGGTCAGGGGGCGAGGAAAGGTGTACGGTCAGAGTGCCTGAAACGCTCGAGCTCCAGACCGCAGGACCTGACCTGCGGCGCAGCCGCTTGAGCCGTACACCTACGGAACGATCGAGCGAAGGAGTGTTCACCCTGAGCTCTCTCGAGGCCCGTCGGGCGAACACTATATCACCTGCTCGCTCGACGGCGGCGCTTTGCCTAAGAGGTCCAAACATACGCCCAACCCCGAGGGTGTTATGTTATATTCTTATATGGGGCCTATGAATGTGGAACTTGGAGGGAGGGCCTATTGCGCAACATCGTTGATGAGTCTTGGGTTCACACTGGTCCTCCTCCTCCTCCTCCTCCTCCTCCTCCTACTCCTCCTCCGCCTCCTCCTCCTCCTCCTCCTCCTCCCCCTCCCCGGCCTCCCCTTCCTCCTCCCCCTCCTACTCCTCCTCTTTCGGGCTTCGGGCTGCGAACCTCTGTCTCCAAGATGTGTGCGGCCCTCCTCCTCCTCCTCCTCCGCCTCCTCCTCTTCAATCCTCTTTCTTATCAGAAGATTGGCTCAGACCCAACAATCACCCGTCCGGGTCCGCGGGGATCACGGTGCCGGCGCCGGCCCCGCGGATGCCGCCGCGCCAGCGCGGCGTCGTGGCGCGCGCCTGCTTTCGGGGGCGTCGCCCACCTCTTCGTGCTGCTCCATACCCCCCTCCCCTCTCCATTCTGCCTTTGCCTGCTGCTGCTGCTCCTCCTCCTTTTCCTCCTCCTCCTCACGCCCGCCTTCTGAAACCTTGAATTGTCTCTGCGTCTCGGCCCCAGGAGATAGCTGGCACGCTCCTGGGCCGACCAGAAAGAAACTGTCAGAGAGGAAGCCAGAGTGCAACGCACCCTGGTGCGCACCCCTGGTTTTTTTCCGCGTGGGCCTGCCATGCGACTGGCACGTTCCCCGGACCTGCCTCGGCGGTGGACAAACCTCCCTTTGATAGACCTCCCCTTAATGAAAACGGCCTGGGACCGAAACCGACGGACCTGGACCCGCAAAAATGACGGCCGCGACGCCCTCTCGCGAACCGAAAACGGCCAATTCCTCAATCGACGTGTCAGGGTAGGAGGTCTGTCCACCCCCGACTGCCCCCCACCTCTGGGGAGCCCACAAAAGGACGTACGCGCCCAAACCACGCTCGCGAACACGGCCCCTCGGTCCGCGAGGCCAGCCTCTTGACACGAACGCTCGCGCAGCGCGTACTTTCGAATCCAATGTGGATCATGTGCATGTGCGTGTGCGTGTTTTGTTTCGTTCCGGAGCTCAAGGGGCCCAGGGACACACAAATAAATACACACAAATAAAAGGATTCCCCCATTTTGTTTTCCATATCTTTAGGGGTTTTCGTCTTCCCCCCACTTCCCACATTTCCCCATATTTGCTGGGGGTCGACGATTAATTGTGTCTGTGTGTTTTTTCCCCTCCTGATGAACCTCTGCCCCCCGTGCCGCGCCGAGTCCGAATTGGTGCATGTAGCCCAGGTTGAAGCTGGCCCGCGCCACGAAGGAGTGCATCCAGTCGCTCGTGTCCTCGCGGCGGGGCGCTGCTCTTCGCGGGGACGGGCGGGGGGGAGGCGGCAACCAGTAGCGGCGAGGACGCAGAAACTGTTTGCTTAACGTGTCGCCGCGGCGGCCCTGGCGACACGCCATGCCTCGCGAGCGGATAGCGTGTCGCTCCGCTCCGCTGGCCGGGAGGCCACGAAGATCTCGGGACTCGGATGCCTGGGGAACGCGAAGTGGACAGCGCGTCGCACCGCGGCGCAGCGGGCCAAAACCGGCGGAACCACGCGCTGTCCAAAAGTTCCCGACCGCACGTCGTCGCACCGATGCAAAAAGGCGTGCTCACATACACATGCATACGGCCGGACCAAGGACTGAATAACATCCTCCAGGAGCACAAGACCCTCCGCTGGCTACGACACGCAGAACATCCGAGGGCGCCCTCCCCAGGATGCGCGAGAACACCCAGCAAACGCGAAAAACATGAGGGTACCCTCCCCCAGCCGACCTCGATCGCATACCTCGGTCCGACCGTAGCCTCACACACACACACACACAAGGACATAACAGAAAAGGAAGGAGCACACAAACACACGCACACACCTGAGAGGCCGAGGGCCTCGGCGGACCTCGCCCTCGCCCTCGCCCTCGCCGCCCCCCCCCCCCCTCCTCCGCCCCCGCGGGCCCGGGGGGGGAGGCCGAGGGAAAGCAGGGGGGGGGGGGCAGTGGCGAGGAGCTCGGGGGCAGGGCGGCCAGGACGCAGGAGGAGGACGAGGACGATGGAAACGACGCAGACGACGACGGAGGAGGCAGAGGCAGAGGCCAGGGCGCGCAGGGGGCGTCTCTGCACGTCGGCGCTCCGCTTCTGGCGCGGGGCCCCGGCGAAACAGACGGAAGCGGAGCGGGGGCGGCGCCCCAAAGGGCGCGTGTGGCGCCGCCTGGCCCACGAAGCTAAGGGGTCGCGGGGCAGGCGTGCCCCGCCGCGGGAGGGCTGCAGAGAGGGGGGGCCGTCCTAGGCACGAGGGAGGGCAGATGCCGGCCCCCAATGGGGGTGAGCATCTCCCTCGAAGAGGGGGGGGCGCGAGGGCACCTACACGATCCCAGCAAAAGCAGAGAGAGAGAGAGAGAGGAGGAGGCAGGACAGAAGAAGGGGAGGGCGGCGCCTTGGCGCACAGACAGAACCTGAACTTCAATCCTGAGCGCCTGCTCCTCCAGAGACCCTCCGGAAAGCGAGAGAGAGAGAGAGAAAAAAAAAAAAAAAAAAAAAGAGAGAGCACGCGCTCGCGCGCGCCCGCGCCCTCGCGCCCACGCGCGCGCGGAAAGCGGAACACCAGGGGCCCGAACCCAACCCGAGCACGCCGACGAAAGCAGAGGGGAAAGGCAGCCCACGAGCGGCCAGCGAGCGCGGCGAGCCCAGGCCCACGATCAGAGAGGACGGCGGCGGCCGAGCAACACGAGACACGCAGACAAACAGCACGAGCAGTTCCGGGAGCCGCCCCACTCTAGGGGGGAATACACACTACAACAATCCACGTTTCGTTATATTCTGCCTTCTTTTCCTGGAAGCCGTGTAAAGGTCGAGGCCGTAACATAACACCAGTTGTCTGCATTGATAGGTGCTGTTGTATTTTTCTCGTGGAGACAATATCTGCTACAAGGTGCCACGCGTCGACGCGACTCGACGCCAGTCGATCGAAACATAGAGCAAGTCGAGAGCCGTGCGACTAGGACGGCCCCCGCTCAAGACATCTAGAAAGAGACGGGCCAGGGGGGGGGACGAGAGAAGAGAGACTTGAGCATATATTATGGCAACAAGGAGACATCACCCGAAACAATACCCCTCACCTTCCCGCGCAAGCACACACAGGTGCTGTTGCATTTTTCTCGTGGAGACAACATCTGCTACAAAGTGCCGCGCGTCGACGCGACTCGACGCCAGTCAATCGAAACATAGAGCAAGTCGAGAGCCGTGCGACTAGGACGGTTCCCGCTCAAGACATCCCAAACCCGAAGAGGGCTACCCGAGCCCTGAAGGTTCCCAGGGACGGGCGGGACAGGGCACCAAAAAGCGAAACAAAAACGAGCCAAAAACACACAGCGCTGGCGGGGCAGAAGGCCGGCGTCAGCCAGACACTAGGCAGGCAATGCGACCACGCTCATGGGCCAACAGCGTTTGGACAATGGCTTTACACAAGCTGGGGGGGGCAAGAAGCTGCTATTGCCGTCCATTTTACACCAGATGGAGCAGCTCCTTCCAGTACGAAGTGTCTTCTACCAGTGCGACTGCACACCCCCGAGCCCCCTTTGCACCTGCGATCGAATTTCAGTGTATCGGACGCGTCAATGGAAAAGAATGCAAGCTTTGTGCGTTTACGCCAACAACGTCCGAACTGACACTGGTCAAAAGTCCTAGTGTGGCCATGGAACCTTCTGAGGAGATCAATGAGCTCGGGGGTATGCCAACTGCTCGAAGTGACGGGATGCTCTAGAATCGTTGGAACCTGACATTTACACAGCACTCGTAAAAGCTGTAGAGCACACCGAAAGATATTGCTACCGCGCTCCAAGCGCTCACACTGACGCTTTGTCAACTCGTTAGCATCGAGACCCCACGGCTGCTCTTTCGAACGGATAGGGCCGTCTTTGCCTCTGTCCGCCGCTCCACCCCAGGCGTCGCACGGTGGGCCCATGACCGCGCCTATCACTTCCTTTCGTTTGACTGCAGCAGTCACACATCCGATCACTCTGGGCACCGTCAAGTCCTCGCTGGGCCCATGGGCCCGATCATACGCATGAGCATTGCAACCTTGCTGGACTGCGGCCCGCGCGACGCCACCAGTCCCCGCATAAAGGTCGAAGATGTAGCGACTCTTGAAATGCCCCGCCAATGGGGCGCCACGTCGTGCGGTCTGCCGGGGGGTATGTCCTCGAGCGCTGCTCCAAATGCCTCCAGCAGCTGGGATCTCCTGTCTGGGAGCAGCTCCCAACTCCTCGACAACCTGACGCCCTCGTCGCACCGCTGGACACTCATGATGCTTCCACTCTGTCCGCGACGCTGGGCCTCCGACACCGTCCGATGCTGCCCGAAGATGTCGATCGACGGTCCCACGTGCCGCCTCTGGTGCTGCACTATCGTCTCTGCGATGCCTGGCTCGTCCCGCGAAACGTTCGGCTTCCGGGGGCTCTGGAGATACGCGACCGTCCGAACCATCTCGTCCTTCGGCCCATCGGCCATCACTCTCTGGACGGGCCTTATGAACCGCAAGAGCGGCGAGTCCATCTCGATGCTGACGTCGCTGCGGGTGGCCCTGCTCCGCTCGATCCGCTGTGAGAGGGAGAACAGCAGGCTCGAGGAAAGGGAGATGCCACCTGCAGGCGCAATCGTACCACGCGGCTTGAGACTCATCAGCTTGTTCGGCCTCCAGCGGCTGCCCAGCGAGACCGACCGCAGGACCGCGGCCTGCAGAGGGGAAAGGCCAGTCAACATCCTGGCCAGTCCAGCCCACAACGTCAGAGACCAGCTGCGCCAGCTGCGGCCGGGGGCCCCTTGCCGCCAGCCCCTCCGGCAACGGCAGGCCCGGGGGGGCCCGCAGCGGCCGGCCCTCGAGAGCTCCGCCGTCGAAGACATCAGGCCTGCAAGGATCTGAATGCCCTCGCTGGCGCCCCGGCTCATGAAGAGGAAGAAACTGAGGTGCCCCATTCGCGTGCCGTCGACCAGCTCGCCGTGCACCCGCGGGCGCTCTCCTTCCGAAAAGTCGAAGCCCGCCGACCGGCTCTGGCATCGCTCCAGCACCTCCAGCGCCACCGAGCTCTCGCCGGGGGAGCGGTGGCCGCCCCCGGCCGCGGCCGTCAGGACGGTGATCAGCTGCTCTCGTCCTCTCTGGCGGCCCGTGCGCTTCCGCGCTGTTCTCAGCGCGGCGCCAGGCCGTGGCCCCCCCTCGCCGCTGGTGCTGCTGCTCTCGCCGACGTCTGCCAGCCTGGGCGCGGGCTTCAGGCGATCCTCGTTGTCGGAGGGGGTCCTTCCGTGGCGCCTCCCACTCAGCCTGCCGCGCAGCGCCGGCTGGGCGCCTGGTGGCCGCAAGGTGGCCTTCCTCTGGCTCGCCAGCGTCTCGAGCCCCCGCTGGCCCTCGCTCGGCCGAGCCTCCGACGACGGCAGCATCGCCTACCGCCTGCGGCGGCCCATCGCCTCTCTGGCTCGTGCAATCTGGATGATCACAGAAAGTGCGCGGTAAGCATGGAGGCGAAATGTCTACGCAACGGGAGAGGGGAGAGACAGAAGCAGCAACAGCTACTTTACACAGGTTCGGGGATTGCGGGTATTTCGAAGTCTCCTTTAAATTGTTGCCTTTGACACTCAAAAACGAAGGAATCTCATCCACTAGCGTCTTACTGGCGCTGCTATTCTCAAAGATCCGAGTACCCTTATCCGAGAAGTTCAATTCGCAAGGGATCCAACGCACAGCCCCTAAGACATTCCTGGCCAAGCAGTGAGCCTGGAAGACGCGAATCTGAACGAGAAACAGAAAGTTTTTGGCGCGACTACGGCCGAAGGCGAGGGTGACCGACATATTGTCACACAACAGAAGCTGCCTCATATCACACACTCGCGAGCTAGTTACAACACGAATCAAACCTTTGACAAGAGCACGAGCCTCCTTCACCAGAATTCCCTCACAATGTTGCCACTTCTGCACTCTCACCAGTCGCCACAAAACTGACTTCAGATGATTAGCGGGCACCTCGGGAAAAATACTGATCCACCTCCCAGTTTGACGCCTCCTCGGAAGCACTAACTCTCTTCGTCAAAACCTCTGGCGGCTGCGACTGCACAGCTTCCGCCCGCCTGCCGACAGAAGCCCAACGTCTCGAGGGCGCTCTCTCGGGCCCGATGGGAGCCCACTCGGCGGAAGCGTTGGCGCTCAGAAGTGCGACCCACCTCGCGCGCGGCCTGCCAAGGCCAGAACGCCTGCGCCACCGCGCACCCCTCAAGGCCACTGTCGGTCTGGGCCACCAGGTCGTTCCAGCTTCGGAGCCAGTCACTGAACATGAAGATCATTAGCGACCTGAAGGCCTGCAATTCGGAGCGGCACTCGTCCCACAGCGGCCCCGCCCGTCCTGAGGCGCGGCCCCGCTCCACGGAGGCATACACCGAATGGGAGACACTGAGCAGGCCTCGGCAGCACAAGGCGGCAAACGTGCAGCGCCCCAAGACGACCTCAAACGCCCGCGCGCTGGCCCGCCGGCGCCGCAGCAGCGCGCCCAAAGCCTGGCATATGTTCCAGAATCGTTTGGGCGTGACGCGCGTCCGCGGCGCCGCCCCGTCGAGCTCCGCGCCGAGCGCGACGATGCCGCCGCGCGAGCGTTCCGACTTGTACAGCAGCAGCCCCTCGCGATTGAAGCCCTCCCCCAGCTGCTCGAGCGCGTCGCCAACTGCGGCCTCGCAGACGCCTATCACTCCGAGGTTGTCTACATACACATAGTGACTGAGCGGGTCTCGTTCCTCCCCCAGGGCAGGTCTCACCACCAGCGGCGGCCCGCGATCGTGCAGAGGGGATCCAGGAAGAGAGGGCGCCACCTTGGTCACGGTGGTCTCGTTGATCATCTGAGCGATCCATAGACTCCAGGTGAAGCCCATGGGGAGCACGGCCCAGCACGGCGTCACTGCCTCCGCGCGGCCAAGAACACTCCCGTCAACCTCCGCGCCCGACGCGCCCATCACGTGAGCCGGCGCAGGAGGGAGGCAGAAGTAGTCAGACAGCCAAGCTGGCACGCGCAACCTGCGGAAACAGTTCGAGACGTCCGAGAGGCCGATCGAGAGGCAGAAGTCCTCCAACAACTTTGCGGCCTGTCCGGGCCCCAGCGGCGCGCTCGCGGGCAGCTCCACCTCTATTCTCGACAGGCCCTCCGAACTCAGGAGCGACACCCCGGGCGGCGCCTGAAAGCACTCATTGGCCCGCCTGGCGTCGACGATCAACCTCTGGGCTGCACCGCCATCCTTCTCGACCGTGAAGAGACCCACATGGCACTTCGGGGAACTGGTCCAAGTAATGACGCCAATGTCTGCCAAACGGCGGAGGAGTCGATGATATTCTTTCTGATTAAAACGTGGCTTGGGATCGAAGTAGGGGGCCGTTTCGTATTTCTCAACGGGCGGCGCCAACATGCGCTCGTGATAGTCCCCCAGGAATCCGATAACCTCTGAGGGCGCCACGTCCGCGATCAGTGGACACCCTCGGACAGAGCCGGGGAGGCTCAGGAGGTCGAGCTTGAAGGACGTGACCCGTGTCGGACAACCCGCAGCCTGATATGGGGAATGTCCTTGAAGTAACTTCTTGAGAGCCGCCTCGTCGCTGAGAGGCGGATGGCGCAGGTACCAGCTATTAACCAACTCACACACCCTCCACTGGACGTCCGCCTGCACGTCATCGGGCAGACCGTCTGGGCCGCGATCCGCCCACAAAAACTCCTTCCAGCCTGCCATCCGGTTCAATGCTTTCAGCGCGTCGTTCACCATCACAAGGCGATCGCTGCCGCGCCCCGGGCGCACCGAATCCAACGGCACCAGAGGGAGCGGAAACAAGCTTCGCTGCCCCCGCGAGGCCGCCAGTCCGGGGCGGCCGCCAGCCCCCTGAAGCCGACCAGGGTCGGGGGACCCCCTGGTCGGCGGGGCCGTCATGGGCCCCAGGGGGTGTCGACACCGCGGCTTCGGCCTCTGCTGCCGTCACCGCGTCCGCGACCCCCCCCCGCCTCCCATGTCCTCGCTTCCAGCGCTACTGCCCGCGCTGCCGTCGCCGCCGCCTGCGCCTGGGCCGCTTGCCAGCCCGCGTGAAGGGGCACCGCAGCGGGCCTGCAAGCCCTCGCAATCCTCATGCAGCTTCCGCGCCACAGGGACCCGCGTCACTGAGCCTGCAGCGACCTCGGTGGGCTGCACGTCAGCGTAGCACTCCGCTACCTCCCACGGCACGACGCGCGGATGAGCGTGAGCCGCCACGAAGCTTACCAGTCGCTCACACAAAACTTCCAGCGCCGTCGGAGCACCCAGACTCACCTGGTCGCAGCCGTACGCCAGATACCCTTCCTCGCATATGCAACGTGACACGTGGGCGACGCGATCCGCGGTGGCCAATCCCATCTCTCTTAAGGTACTCATCGAGCCCCAACCGCGAATCGCCGCCTACCTCGACTGGCAGATGCACCACCCTGGCGGAGCCATCGTCCGCGAAGTGCCGCTTCGACGTCCCCGAAACGCCTACCTCCTGTGGCGGCGGCACGCGAATGGCGGGCAACTGGTGGCTGAGCACGGTGCCGTTCGAAAAGCCCTGGCAGCCATCGTCCAGGAAGTACTCATCGCCGTCTGGCCCAAAGATCCACCAAACGTCATCGCCGAGAAGATGGAGGAAGCTACTCTCGTCATCTACGCCGTCGCCGTCGCACTCCACGGCGCCATACTGGCCGAAGGCCAGCTCACTGTACCACTCCGCCTCCACGTCGAGCGGGAGGCGCGCCATGTCTAACCGCAGCGGATCGGCCTCGCACGCACCAGCGGCCCACCACGACGCCCAAGGGGTTGGTGAGCACGGGCGGCAGCAGCAGCCGCACAGCCTGTCCCCCAGGCGACGGGCCCTGCAGCTCCACCTGCGGGCAGGCGCAGGCCGGGCAGGCTGGGCACTGGGGCGCCGCAGGGCACGCCGCCTCCAGCCAGGCGGGCGAGCCCTCGGGATCGCCACCGCCCAGCACCGCGTCGGCGTCGGGCTGCAGCGGCGGGGGCGGCCCGCCAACACCCAACAGACCCTCGGGCAGCAGGCCGACCTCGACGGCGCGCCAGCCAGCCCAGGCGAGGGCCACCGCGAGGACCGCGATCGGGGGCCGGCCGTCGGCAGGTCCCATGGGCGCCTCTGACGAGAGAAGAGAGGCTCGAGCATAGATTATGGCAACAAGGAGACATCACCCGAAACAATGCCCCTCACCTTCCCGTGCAAGCACGCACATGTCTGCATTGGTACTCGTATCCATTGTAACCCTTCCCCATATGCTGAATGTTGTGGTCTCTTGCCGTAAGTGTGCTCCCCTTCGTGCAGAATCTCGCAGCTGGTGTCGGAGTCGTTCTCTGCCGGACCAGCCTTTAGCAGCAGGTAGAAGGCTCGCCCTCGTCTCTTAGGGCTCGAAAGGCACTCTCGTGGCTGCGGGGCCTCTACGCCAAGCTGGTGGCCGCAACCGCCTGGAGCTTCTTCTCGCGCCCCTGGATTCTGTTCTGCAGCTCCTGGATGACCTTCTCTACCTCCTGCTCCGAAGGGGCGGCCATGACCTCTACTTCCTCTACTGTTTCGTGTCGTCGTTCTTCTGCTTCTTGATCTTGCCGCAGTCGATCCCTGCCGCTCTGGCCTTTTTGACTTTCCAGCCGCAGGGGATCCAAGTCTCGTCGTCCTCCGCGCCCCACCGCGACAGCTGCGTCGTCGCGTTCTCGTCGTTCTTCTCGTTGGGCGTCAGCTCGCCCGCTTGCGTGCCCTCGTGCGCCTTGTCGCTCGGCGACTCGTCGCCACCCCCAATTGGCCTCGTCGTACGCAAGCCCTCGCCGCGCACTCCTCGATGCAGGTCGTCAATCGGCTCATCTGGTCGGTCAGGAACATCACGTCCTCCTCTTTGGCGAGCTTCTCCAGGTCGCTTGTGCCGTCGAGCGCCTCGCACCTGCTCAGGCTGAGTATGAGCTTGCGCTTGTGGTCCATCAGCTTCTGCAGGCCAGAGTCGATGACAATCGTTGTCGAGGCTAGAACCGCTCCCGTCCGCTCGGCGTTCAGCTCTGCGATCTTCAGCGCGCACTTGCCCCCCCCCCCCCCCCCCCCCCGACATTGTCGGCGTTGCGCCTGGTCTGACGCGCGATCTCCATATTGGCCACGCTGTGTGCGCCCGCTGTGGTCTCGCCTGTCGATGCACTGTGCCTTTCGCTTGAGCCAAGATTTGCTGTGCGAGCCCCTTGCTACCTGCAAGTACCTTGGTCCTAAGTAGTCGGTTTCCCCCTTCACCCCATCGTACCAATACCGTTGTGCTAACATTGTAGTATGGGATTTCACATCTCACTCGGTCCAGTACTTCTCTCCAAGATTGGCGCTGTCGGGCCTACTTGTCTCCCAGTAAGTGCCTTCGGGGGTGTGAGGTCTTCTTGGGCTCTCTGGTGGGTCTTGCTTACCTCCGTGTTTCCCCAGCTGTCGGACGACCAGGGTCGGCGCCTTCTTCCTCGCACGCACTAGTTCGCCTCCTGCAGTGGGGCAGTCCTCCACGGGCCTCTCACCATCTCGCTCGACGGGATGGCTGTGCCAATGGCGCCCAGCAAGAGCCTCTCCATCTCCTCCGTCCACTCTATATGGGCCCTGATCGACTCCATCATTGAAAAGCGCAATTCTTGGTTGTCCGCGGTCTCGCTGTTGTTGTAGCCACCCATGCTGTACGTCGTACTCTGCGTGTGCATTAGCATGACCGCGCTCCTGAGCTTCTTCATCTGCTTGCGCCAGCAGCCTGGTCAGCCCAACCATCGTGTCCATCAAAATCCCCGTGTTGTTCGACATTCTCTCGTCGTGCTGGATGTCCTCCCACGTGGCCTCCCCCGTGTTCAGCTGCGGCGGGGGCGGGCTGTCCAGGAGCAGGAAGAGGATGAGGGGGAGGACGGGTGTGAACCCAAGAGTCATCAACCATGTCGCAATAAACCCTCCCTCCAAGCGCCCTGTTCACAGGCCCCTACAAAGATTCATGTCCGCTGGGGGAAACGCCCCGTTGGGAGACAACCGTTTGAAGATCCGGAAGCGTGCCGAAACACCAGTCTCGGGACTCCAACGCCGCAAATCAACCTGACGGTTGCGTATTGACGATCCGGAATCGCGCCAGAACGCCAATCCTGGGATTTGAACACCGAGAATAAACGTAACTGCTGCACCTGGACAAGCCTGAATCATTCCCAAAGTCAATTTCTGGTACGCTGGCCACGCGGATCCGTGAAACTCTTGTATGTTTGTAACTAAAGTGCGCGGCGCGAGGGCGAAAACCACATGTTGAAAAGGAACCTCCCTCAATCCACGATCCACGAAAATATTGCAATTGTTTTAAACAAGTGTGTGCGGCGCTGAGACAAGATCCACATTTTGAAAACGACCTGCCATCATTCTGCTAAACTCTTACAAATCATGAGAACGAATGTGCGCGGGGCAAAGGCGAGAACCACATTTTGGAAACGGCCCGCCCTCCATCCGTGAAACAATTGCCAATTTCTCAGCTTCAGGATCACGAATGGTGAGGAAATCTCGAGCGAAACGCCCTGCCCGCCTGTTCGACCGGCTTCGGGGTGCCATGAGGCATTATGTATAAGGAGAAAGGAATGGAGGAGGACGCGGACAAGGACGAGGAGGGGGAGGACGAGGACGTGTTTGCTGGGGGCGACATTTGCGGAGGATGACGAGGAGGGCTAGGAGTAGGTGGAGGAGGTTGTGGAACAAAAAGGAGCGAGACGAGGAGGACGACTAACAAGGGGACACGGACATGGACAGGGACGCAGGTGGAGGACGACGACGACGAGGGAGGAGGGGAGGAGGGACCGGTGAAAGGACGGAGATATGGGGGTACAAGGGAAGTGAGGATGAGGGAGGAAGGAGCAGGGAAGAGGGAATGAGGCGAAGGAGAAACGGCAAGGGAGGCAGGGAGGGAACATGGAGCTTGACGAGCCTCCTGCGACCAGATGGTCACTCTCTAGTGGGAGTCTGCTGCGCATGAGTGCCTGGTTCCTGCGGGTGGGGCGCCCGACCATTGCTCCTGGGCGCTCCCTGCCCGACGCGCGCACGCAGAGCGGGATTGACTGAGCTGACCAAGGGCATAAACTCCCTCTCTCACTTGAGAACGCATGCTCACAGCCTCACGCTGTACCTGTTCAGCAGATCGGGGCATATCGTCGGCACAGCCACCGAGGGGTGGACGCGCTGGACGTGCCGACTGTCGCCTGAATCGCAGACACTTGTCGCATCTCCAGAAGGTGCGCAGTGATGCAGGAGGGAGGGCAAGGAGAAGGAATGAGGCATGCGGAGAAAGGGGGGAGGTGGCGGAGGATCAGGAATAGGATGGGTAGGACGAAGGCATGTAGGGATGAGGAGGGAGCGACGGGACAGGATCTCGGGGAGAGGACGACGAGGAGCCCGAGGAGGGAGATGCGAGGAGAGAGCACGGGAGAGAGGGGAAGGACTGTGGGGAAAAAAACGGTAGAAACATGGATGATGGAAGATGGGGAGGAGGTGGTGGGTGGGGGGGGTGCAACGGGGCGGAAAACATAAAGACGAGGGCAAGGCGCAGTGGCACGGAACTCGCTGCCGGCCCCGCCTTCATGGCGGCCGTGCGCATGTAGCGGTCCATGGACAGCCTAAGGTCGACCTCCTGGGCAGAGAGACCCGTCTCCAACGTGGAACACTCTCGGACGACGTGGGCCCTGGCTCTGCTGTCGCTGCACCCCAGAGGCTGTCGACCTCATATTTCGCATGCCACACAACGGTCCCCGAACGGGCGTTCAAGCTTGGAACACCCATGCTGGGGCCACCGCTGCGTCGCGGCGGCGCGAAGACGCCGCACTCGACGTGGAGTCAAGGGAGAAAAGAGAGGCGGAGATCCGCTCCAACTCCAGTTCCTGCTCCCGCTCCTTCTGCCGATTCTGGTGCTGCTGCTGCTGCCGCCTCCGCCGCTCGTTGATTCAACTCCTCCTCCTCCTCCTCCTCCTCCTCCTCCAACTCCTCCTCCTCCAACTCCTCCTCCTCCTCCTCCTCCTCCTCCTCCTCCTCCTCCTCCTCCTCCTCCTCCTCCTCCTCCTCATCCCCCTCCTCCCCCTCCTCCTCCGCCTCCCGTCCTCGCGCTCCCGCCCCGTACTCACCGTGGGTGTGTGGGGGGTGACGGGGTCCAGGGCACCCGAGCCTTCGGATGATCAGGGCGGTGCCCGCAGGGCGGTGCCTGCAGGCCCCCTGTGCTTCCTTCCTGGCCCCCCGAAGAGGGCCCCCCCTCTGAGTCTCCGAGGGTTGCGTCCCAGCTAATTCCCCAATCAGTGCTTGCACTGAAGGGGTCCTGGCGGAAGTTGAAAAATGTGGCGAAAGTTTCCTGCCGATTTAGGCAGCAGGCTGGCTTCCCGGGTTCCCGGTTCCGGGTTCCCGGTTTCCCGGTTGTGGGTTCCGGGCCGATTTCCATGGGTTCTGGGTTCCCAGGCTCCCAGGTTCCCGGTCTAGTGTAACCATCCACTGATTGGGGGTTTTCTCTGGTGTAATCCTGCCAAAGGTCAAAGCTGACAGGGGGAACTCCAAGTCTGCAGCTCGCGGCCAGGAAGCCTCTCTGAATTCGCGAGGGGGGTCTGGAAGGACGGGGGAGGTTCGGGTGCTGACAGGGGCAGCCCAGCTACCCAAAAAACATTGCATCCAAGGCCAGCTCCAGCAAAAAAGAGCCTGACATCAGACCCAGCCACAGAGAGTCAGGAGCCCCTCTCCTGCCTTCCAACCGTCCCTCGCCTTGGCTTCCTTCACCTCCCGTTGGCACCAGGTCGGTACAGCTGCCATGGGAGGAGCAAAAGCGGGTTTCAAGTCTGGTACGGGTCGGGCTGCGGGACAGGGCACTTGCATCACGTCGCAGCCAAGATTCTGACGCCAAGGTCTGCTGGGGTCAGAAGCTGCTCGGGGACGCGCTCAACCAGGTCAGCGCTGACCAGGGTCAGCCAGGGCCCTGTCACGAACAAAGGCTGGTCGCTCAATAGCTCCCAAATCCAGGTCAGCGGAAGACGGAAAGGAAGGATCGGCTCCACGTAACTCCCAGACGGGGGTCAGCCTGGAGGGGATTGGCTGCCCCCCAAGGGCGCTCACCCTCGTTACGTGCGTCCCGAATTGTTGGCACGAGGTCGGCACCGGCAACGCCTCGATAGAGGGACGGTTGCTGCTGACGAAGTTGAGCTCTCTCCAAGCAGCGCACGCCACGAAGCGCAGACCCCCAACAGGAAAACATCCTTCCCCCCCCCACACTTCGAGGAAAAAAAACATATGAGCATCGACTCTTGGAGGTCCGCGCGGATTCCTTGGATCGGTGCTGAACTCCCTCCCTGGCGCGCTGACCGTGCCAGGAGCGGCGCCAGAGGTGCCGCCAGAGGGGCCCAGCGCCGTGGTTGTGTGTCTTGCTCCTCTCCGAGTACTTCCTCTCCTGCTCCCCCCTGGACTTCGGATCCGCGGAGTGTCTCCTCCGAAGAGCGGAGCCCTCGACCCCCCCTCCTCCTGGCCAACGCCGGGGGGGGGAGCAAGAACAAAACAAAAAAGGCAAGAGAGAAAAGGAAGAAGGAAACCGAACGGCGATAGCGAAAAAACTCCTCCCCCGCCCCCTCCCCCTCCCCCTCCTCCTCCCCCTCCTCCTGCTCCTCCTCCTGCTCCTCCTCCTCCTCACGTCCAGCTTCCCACAGGCCCCTGCCGATCCCGAGATTTGGAGTGGCCTTCATCACAACGTGTACGATGATGAGATCGGCCCTTAGGCAGGCGAGCACAACTTTGTTGGTCATCCTGTTGCCTCCTCTTCCTCCGCCTCTCTTCCGCCTTCGGCCTCGAGTGCTCCCGCGCGGGGAGATACTCCAATGAGTCCGCCAGCCTCGGTGAATGCAGGTATCGCCTCAGCAATGGATGAAAATGAGACCCCCCCTAGCGAGAGCCTTCCCCATTAGAACGAGGTCAACCCACCCGACTCCAACTCTCCTGCTGGTGCTGATGCCCCTGATTTCTCTCTGCCCTCGGTTATGTGACCATTTGCTCGAGCATGTGTCGGTTTTCGCAGCCAGACTTATGAGCAAATCTGGGAGACTCTACGAGATTCGATCGCCTTCCATGTGAGAGGGCCGCACATCATGCAGGTCAGCGGGGCCTACGACGCATGGGTTCGAGCAGTAGAACACGCTTTTCAGATACATCATGACCTACCTCCCTCGGACAAGCCGTCCCGAGCTGTGGGGCCTCGACTTGTGGTCCAGCGAGTGCTCCAGAGTGATCACTTTCGCGAAACGGGGCTTCAAGGCGTGGCGGCCAACTGGTGGGAACGGACTCAGGTGGTTCTTCACAAGCTGGCTCAACACAAGAAGCGAGGGAATGGTCCGTTGCAAATTGAGTCGCTGGCTACCGCAAGCGGCAAACTGGCTAGTCAAGTTCCTGAGTGTGCGCATAAATATGTCGAGAAGTCGGCTAGATCTACGAGCAGGGTCACGTGGAAGGAGCTGATTGGACCTCTGCGAGAGGTTCCACATATGCAGCTGGACATGTTCGCTCAAGAAGCTCGTCAGATCGCAGCACGGGCGCATGGACATGCAGTCACATCTTCTCTTCGGGGACTTAAGCAATGGATCGCAACGAACAATCTGGCGGGAGTTATTCATCGTGCTACGAAGATGGAGCCCCTTTTGTGACGTCGAGTTCGACACCCCTGATGTCCCTCTCTTTCACCCTCGCGACGGGGTGGATCATCAGGCCATGCAATGGCACGAAATGTGGACTTCCAAAATTGATCATGCGATGGCGGACATGCGAGATTTTTTGACATACAACGGCATTTGGCGTCTGAGTTGCTTGCCCCATTATCAACGGATGGCCTTCGAGCAACCCTTCGGACTATGACGCCGAGGGCAGGTCAAGGGGGCGACAGGTTCTCGCTGCCGATCTCGCTGCCATTTACACCATGTGCGAGCAGCGCCAAACCTGGTCATAGCAGCTCCTTCCAGTACTGAGACGGCTACTCGCCAAGAAGAGCTCTGGCAATTGCGTGATCGGCCTTATCTGCATGGTATGCAGAGTGTGGCTGTTATCGCGGGAGCCTCTCACACGTGAATGGGCAGCTGTTTCGGCTCCCGATTGGGAGGCGGCCATCGCGGGGAACCCGTGTCTACGCGAAGCGCACGTGGGCGCCCTAGACGAAAGGCTCTTCACGAAGAAGGCATCGCACGGACACGCATATGAAATCATTATACGGCGAAATGGAATGGCCGGTGCTGGTGGAAGGAGCTCTCAAATATGGGTACCCGCCATTTATGCTGGGACTCAAGCTCCACACATGTTTGGCTCCGCGGCTACTAGGCCAAAGGGCGCAAATTCTTGTCCGTTTCAGGGCACACGCAGCATCGTCCAGGGACTCAGGAGCGGCACAAGGTTCGCTCGAAGCATCACGAACCTCATCATGTCTAAGCTTACCCTTTGCCATCCACAGCTCTCGGATGCTCTCGGAGCGGCTCTGGATCGACGGTTTAACACAGGCATCGGTGGGTTCGCGTTTTCATGTTTGCGAGCCTTTGGTGTAGGGTATTGCCATTACGCATGACTTACTGGCTGAATATCCTTTACAAATGTCCAAGACAAACGCCATCACGTGTTCTGATATGAGAAATGCTCGGCTCATCCACAAATGACTGCGCCGTCTGGGTATCCATGTGTTGGCAGTTCCTCAGACAGCGTAGCTGGGCGTGGATGTGTCGAGTGGCAAGCGGCACGGTCGAGCCACCAGGCGAAAGCGGTTCAGCAACACCATTCGTCAACATTTTATGTTTCGAAGATTCGCTCACGCTAGCATGCGTTTCAAGGTATTGCTAAGAGTGGAGATGGCAGGTCCTCAGACGGGAGCGCGACACGGTCATCAGATCCATGGGATGCCGAACACTTCCATCCTACAGTTGAGAAGGCACCCTGGCGCAGTGGCAGGAGGGCACAGACGAGGACGATGTCTAACCATCTTGTTGGACATCCATGCGCCTGTCACAGACCCAAACACCTCGTTTTCTCGTCAATGTCTTGCAAAATGGCTCAACATGTGGCTTGAAGTGCCCCGGTTCCGTGCACCTAGATCGCTGGTCTGGGTCAGCACAGTTCGGGATGTCTTGCAACGTGAAGTTAAACATCGAGTTCGACATATAAGTGGTCCCTTGACAGCGGTGATGCATTACCTCGTCGATGCAGGTTGGGACATTCCCCGACCTACATTATGGTGCAAGCCAGCAGACGAACAATGTCATCCGGCAGATAAGGATTGTTCCAGTGAGAATTTCGAGTCCACGGATCAAGCTGAGGAGTTGCTAGACGCCTTGGCTCGTACGATTGAGCGGAAGAAGTGGCAGCACGCGGCTATGTCTACCTTCTGTGGAAGTGGGATGGAACACGGTGTTCATAATATCTCACTTCGCAAACAGCTCTATCAGCCGGAGAGTATCCCACAGATAGGGGAGTCTGGCTCAGTTGCTGTCGACTGTCACAGTCGCAGGTGCGTGGACGTCATCACGCAAGTCCGAGACAGGATATCACAGGCCATCTGATTGTACCAGGTGTGGCGAGGGACCTGATAACCATCGGCATCGCTTCTGAGAGTGCAGATGTAACGCAGTCACGCCATCATTT